AAACAAATAGGGGTTCCGCGCACATTTCCCCGAAAAGTGCCACTTGACGTCTAAGAAACCATTATTATCATGACATTAACCTATAAAAATAGGCGTATCACGAGGCCCTTTCGTCTCGCGCGTTTCGGTGATGACGGTGAAAACCTCTGACACATGCAGCTCCCGGAGACGGTCACAGCTTGTCTGTAAGCGGATGCCGGGAGCAGACAAGCCCGTCAGGGCGCGTCAGCGGGTGTTGGCGGGTGTCGGGGCTGGCTTAACTATGCGGCATCAGACCGGCCCGGCCCGGAGACCCGGTCGGCCCGGTCCGGTCGGCCCGGTCGGCCCGGAAGTTTACCGCGAACTTCAAAATCTTGAGCGAAAAGTTGAATCATTGTTTCGAAAAAAGGTATTCAGTGTTTTTTTTCTTCGAGTTATTTTTCAATACATTCTAAAAATCAATAAATTCATTTTCAAAAACAAAAACAGCATGATATCATAACAATTTTCAAATATAACAAAAAGAAAACATAACAAGTAAAGTAAAGTTGAAAATTCAATTAGTTTTCAAATCATCAACCCAATCGGGATTTTTCGAAGCGATTTGACTACCGAAAACGATCTTTTCAACGGTTTCAGTGCGTAAACGTGCTCGACGTTTGTCCAAAAGAAATGCAGCTGTCGAGAAGGTTGTCTCACAAACCGACTCACTAGGCACGATTGACAGCACTTTTGTTGCAACTGTATATAAGGCCGGATAATCGAGACGTTTACGGCTCCAATATTCTTCGATCTTCTCGCTACTTTTCACGTTGAAACTTTCGTCGGATATCTGCAAGCGAATTAGTTTTAATTAGATGGGAGCGAAAAATCACCTTTTCAGTTCGCTATGAGTCGTTGCTTTCTCAGTGTTATCGCTCATTTCCAAAATATACTCAGGAACTTCTGTCGTGTCAACATTGAGGTCGATCAGATCCTTTGGCAACATTTCACTGATGTAGCTTACAGCTCTTTTTCTTTCTTCTTTCGTAAAGTTCTTCATATGCTTTGTACGGGGAGATAGCAATGTTGCTCCATAATGATGGGTCCCAAACTGTGAATAATAATGTTGGAGAGGTTTGAGACCAGATGTGGCCATGGCTTCAATCAGATCCAAATCCACAATATCCTTGTCCACGATCTTTGTAAAGTCCCGATCCTTGTATGCCGACCATTTATTCAATATGACTTTATAGGCATGAAGAACACGGTGTATTGTGACTTCGTCTTGTCTCTGAAAGATGAGTAATACTATTGTGTATGTTGTAGTTATGGGGATTTCTTACTTGAAAATCGATTGAGTAGGTCAGAAGTGGTTTCAAGATGTGGAGAACTGCATTGACGTATTCAGGATGATCGTTAAGCCAATACATTGATGTTCTGCCTTTCAGAGACAATTTCGACACTAAATCAAGAATTTCTTTGCTCAGTTCTGTAACATCCACAAGACATTTGAGTCCATTCAGCCAGCGAGTATCGTTTGGCAGTGTGGGTAGACGTGACATCTCCGAACACGCTTGGAAGTTGTTTCTAATGGCCGAAGAGACGTTTTGGGCATTGTCGAGACATTCTCTTGCGATCGGAAGCAGTTTCATAATTTCCGTTTCATAAAACCTATTAAAGTTTCATAAAACCTATTAAAGTCTCACAATATCTTGCAAATCACACGAAGTGTCTATTTTCAAAATACTCGTTCATTACAAAAAAAAACAATGTTTATTCTTGAAACCACCGTTAAATCATGAAAACCCAAATATTTTTTTAATTGACATTCTCTTCTGCCTGCTTATTTCTGATGATGTCCTCGATGGCTGAAACTACGTCTATGAATCTACGTGTTTACGGAATTTTTGTCATATTTTCTCCCGCTACGGCGGTTTTATAGATAGAGCTGTTCTGTTATCTATTGATATACAAATACTCACCATCCTTATGTGTTCTTTTGAAGATTCTACGCTTCTTCTCCTCATATTTCCGTCGTCTTTGTGCAGAATTCTTCTGCTCCTCACCATTTGTCACTACTGCCTTCTCAATACGTTAGTTTGTCGTGTAGTTTCCGGTTTTTGCCTTCGGTTTCTCTCTCTCTCTCTCTCTCTCTCTCTCTCTCTCTCTCTCTCTCTCTCTCTCTCTCTCTCTCTCTCTCTCTCTCTCTCTCTCTCTCTCTCTCT